ATAGTTCTTTGAAAAATGCCATACTGCATTCTAGTATGTGCAAATGTTTAGAATAAGATTAACATATATTTCAATATGAAGGGAAAGCAGGATTCCGAATGGTGCTGTACTTTCATATAATTATTATTTTTATTTTCCATCCTTCCGTCCTTTCAACTAATGTTTGCAGATTACCTATTATGTGCCAAACACAAGATCAAGAAGACAGTTCTGACTTGCAGGGTGATAGGAAACAGATGGAGTTACTGTAAAAATAAGAATGATTGAGTTCTTCCTTCTATTTCAAACACGTAGCACACTGCCTAGAAAGAGGTTCTCATTTATAGAATGGTATTTCAGTTTTCCAAGAAACAGCTGCTCAAGTTCTTCACTGCAAGGATACTCCACTTTCTTTTATGTTAATGGGATTTTTCTGAATTCCTGAGTACCCAGGCCTCATTTATGAAAACCTTTCCTCTACCTCAGGGTCTCTGTCTCCATTGTTCTCCCACAACATTTTTCACAATCACTGCTGGGCAGCATCCCCCAGTACAGGAGGGTCATTATGACACTCCCTGTCTCCAAACCCAGTCCTATCCCAATAAGTTTCAGCCATCACCAGACAGCTATATTATTTCTGGTCACCACCATGTTTTATTTGGGTTATTGTTAGTCTTTCAATTAGTCTCCTTGTTTCCGTATTTGCACTTCTCTAATCCAGTCATTTTATGGCAGCCAAAATACTCTTTTTTACAATAGAATTCTAATTAGGTTCTATCATGGTTAAAATTCTTCAGTGGTTCTGCGCCGCCATAGGGAAAAGTCCAAATCCTTTAACATGTCTTTCCAAACACAGTTGTTAGTGTGGCTTATATGATCTGTTCACTCACTAACCATTTTTTATTTTCATCTCCCTTTTGCTCTTCTGGTGCCCTTTAGCAAAGTTTTGCTCAAATATTTTAGTTGTACTATGAATCTCAGAGGAAAACAGAACAATGCAGTTGTTTGGCGCTGAGCAGAAAATTTAAACAGTGAGCAGCACCACCTGGTGGCCAGCATGGTGTGGGGCGGGCATGATGGAGAATTGAAAGAAAACCAGGTGGAATGGTTTGGGGGCTATTTGCCCACCTAAAGCTTTTCCCTCCATTGCTCCCTGCATTTTTGGACAGTGCCAAATTGGTTTTCTGGAGGATGATAGTGTGGTTGTTACTGTCTTAAACTTCCATTTTCTAAAACACAAAGGGATTTTTCAAATATGAATTTAAAATATTTTCTAGTAACCTACTCTAAAATGTGGGGAAAATTCTGCAGGGAGGTGACAAGCTGATCTGACTACCACACTTTCTGATGAGCTAAGGTACAAAAGACTGGGTTCCTGGCTTCCAAAGATTCCTTCCATGTTTTCTATGTCACTGGTAAGTGGTTTCTGAAGACTAGTGTCCTTTTGACCTTCTGTTCCTTTCTTGAGACATACATGTGATTTGCATGACTGGCCAACATCAGAGTTTCCTTGTGATTTTATTCTGTATTCAATATCAAGTAGGTTGTCACACTCAGTAAGGTTCTGAAGTGGTCACATCAATTTTAAATTTAAAATTTATTGCCTATTTTGGAAAAATTATATGCAGAACTACTCACTGATTTAGGAATCACAAAATCTCCAAATATGTGCTCTTTGTGTATATCTTTGTATCTAACTCTTTAAAATTAAGGAACTGTGAAGAATTATTAATTAATTGATATATTTTACTTTCTCTTAAATATCAGATATATCAGACAAATTTTTACTAAGGAAAAAAATCATGTAAGAGCTGAGTATCCGCCACTATCTGAATTCTCATCATCTGAAGATTGTAAACAATTTTTTTCTCCAAATCTGTCCTGAATCAAGCCTGTTACAATGAATCCATGAGCATCTGCCAGCTAAAATATGTGTGTTAGCTTAAATACCTAAAAATAAGGATGCAGAGTACACTGCAAATCTATCTCCAATCTTTTCCAGATGAATCTTTGCTCCTACTGTTTAAATCAGTTTTACAATTATATATAAAAATCCTCTACAAAAGGGGGGGACAGGAATGTAGCCAGTGGGCCAGTACCTGCCTGGCAAGCAAGAGGCCTTGAGTTTCACTCTTGATGCTGAAAAAAATCCTCTGCATTATTAAATAAAAATGTCTTCTAGGAAGTTGATCCTAGGTTCTGACTACCAGTGTTTTGCATAAGTGACAAAAGGAAAAAATCACAGATGATGGCATATAGGGAACATATTGAAATGTTCAGTTTAGTGCTCATTGTCAGAAGGGGAAGCAGAGTAAACGTGAAAACTCAATGCCAAATGTGTAAAAAAATTGTGGAATGTGTTCAAAAAATGACTGATGTCATAAAAGGGTGTGACCATAACAGGAGCAGAAGGAACAGTGTAATGGTTAAACTTAGATGTGAAATAGACTTAAGAGCTCCTGAAAAGCTGACTAGACCATGGTGGTGCTGTACTTTTCAGTGGATTAATACACTGACTAATGATGTTCATAAATGAATGTGGTGTTAGGAGGTGTGGTCCAGATGGAGGTGGAATACTGGGGGTCCCTTTGGGGGGCATATTTCTTGCTGGTGCTGTTCCCTTGCTCTGCTTCCTTTAGCCACAAAGTGAGCAACATTCCTCCACCAAGCCCTTCTGCCATAATGTTTTTGTTTTGGAGCCAGCCAGCCATGGATCCTGATTGAAGCCTGTTACATATATCAAGCCTGTTGTATATGTTGGTAATTGGTCCCAGTGACAGGAAAGATGACTAATACAATCACATTCAAAAATGCCTTTATATGCACAATCTTATTAGGAACTATAAAACTGCAAAAAAAGAGAACTTGTATTTTGAAGGATTGCTTTATTTGCAGTTTTGGGTTTTGTTCTGCAGCTTCAGGCAATATTTGTCTGTCACTGACTGAGTGCTGAGTGCCGGGAAGACTATTCCTTGAATTTAGACATGGACAAACTTTGGTTGTCCCCACCCAAGGAACAGCTTTGCACCTCTCTCCTTTTGTACTCCCCACTCCCACCTTCACAAGTCCCTGCCTGACTCTTATCTGCCTCCATTTCCTTCTCATAAACTTCTTTCCTAGCTCTTGGGGGCCATGGACTCACCCCTTGTTGCCTAGAGCCCACCATGGTCATTTATTAGGGAAAAAAAGCTGGGTGCTATGGGGTTTGTCTGTAATTCCAGCTACTCAGGAGGTTGACACAGGTTCAAGGCCACCCATGGCAACTTAGAGAAAGCCAGTCTCAAAATTTTAAAAAGAGCTGGAGATGTAGTTCGGTGGTACAGCACTCCTGTGTGCTGTGGGCTTCTTCTAGAGATTCTTTCCAGGTTCTTGTCTTAAACAAAGAATTGGACAAAACATGTGCAAAGGGTAGCAAGGTTTTACATTTTTTAAAGGTAGGAAAAGAAGTACACTATGCTGAGAGCCAACTGCTAAGAAAGAGAAAGCACAGTGGCCATGAGGTTAATGGCTGACGACTTTTGTCCTCTCCCTCAACCCATTCTCTGGGTCTACCCGGACATTAGATCTAGACTGTCATATCACACACCGGCTTGATTTCGCACCAGAACTGAAGATAGCGCTTTCTTGTTAGTCACAGGTGCAGGGCGTGGGAACTGCTTCTCTGCGCCTGTGTCCTGGATCTCCTTGATTAGCAGGTCACTCCCACTTGCCCAATGGCCTGGCTTGCTCTAATCTCCTGCTCCACGACCACTGACCTACCCAGCTCAGGAAGCACCATTTATGCTGAGACTTGAAGGACAGGGTTCAAGTAGCCAGCAACTGAGTTCTGAAAACAGAGTAAGGAGAGTAGCACAACAGAAACACAGGATCATGAGCAAGGTGCTGTGGGAGGGGCAGCCTGCTGAGTCTGAGGGTGACCGGCACCCAATCAGGAGGGACGTGATAGTCCTGCCTGACCTAGTCCTCCAAATTATCTTGTTTGCATACCTTCATTCTCTAGGCTGAGGTCTGAGCTAAGCTGTCTTATCAAAATCCTTCTTGATTTCCGTCAGAAGAATTGAAGATATCACTTTCTGGATTGGCCCAGGTTCGGGGCGTGGGAACTGCTCTTCTTCGCAAGTGTCCTGGATCTGCCTGATTGACAGGCCACGCCCTACTTGCCTGTCTAGGGGTTAAAAGCGAAAACCTAACGCCCTTTAGAAAACACCACCACTTGCTACTATTATCCACTATTATTTTTAAGCAATCCAACACAAACTAGTGGTGTGATCTTACGCAAGTTACTCAATTTTTTTTGGTCCTTCCGCATCAGTAAGACAAGCGTAGTAAATACTTAATAGTATTTTTTGAAGGGTGGAATGAACTTGATGATAAAGAATGCTCAATAGATATTTATATTTAATAAAAAGCTTATCTAGTGCTTACCATGTGCCAACCACTCTTCTAGGTGCTTTTTTCAAATAATAAAACCTTGTGAAATTCCGTATGATAGGTACTTTCTACAGATGCAAAGGATGAGACAAAGGGTTAGCACCTGGCTCAGTCAGGTGGTCAAGAGGCAGCAGGTCAGGGATCAGAACTCCGGCAGTCTTTTCTCAGAATTTGCACTCTTTGCCAAGCTGCCTCCTCCAAATAGTTATTACGTATTTATTAGAATACCGTCTGAAAACCGCACAGAGTTCTACCACAATTGCATAATTCCCCTGCTGCAAAATGAGGCCATCTTTACTGCCTCGGAGCTTCCCCCAGCACTTAGCTCTTTTGCGGACAAAGGCCATTAAAAATCAGCACTCCCGGAAGCCCGCTAGTCCTCCACCACGTGCCCCTCCCAGCCAAAGGCAGGCCACACCCCCTCCTGGTCCTGCTCTTCTCCGCCTCATCCCGCCCCTCGTGCCGAATGCGAAGGACGCCTCGCCCGCTTCCACGTACGCACTCCAAAGTCTCCCCAGGAGAATACATCCGGGTCGCTGTGCAGGTGTCTTAGGCCCCGCCCCTTCCTGCCAGCACCACCGCCACTTCCGGCCATCTCTGGCCTTTTCCGTCGCTCCTCTGCCGGCAGTCTCTGTTCCTCAGGTCGTTGCCTATCCGTGGCCGGCCTCTTAGCGCTTCTTCCCGGAATCCTGCGGTTCCTTGTCACCCTGCAGCCCCCTGAGGCTCAGGGCGGCTCTGCCGTTTGCGTCTTCGCGGGCCGCCCCGGGTGAGGCCTGCCGCGCGTGGTGAGTCGGCGCGGACCTGACCCGCGTCCCCGCGAAGCTCTGCTGAGGCCGCCGCGGTCCCGGGATGCCGCGGCCGGAGTCGGCCGCTGCGGGCCGTTGGGGCAGCAGGATGCTCGCGCTCCTGCTGCTGTTGCTGTTGCCCGCGCCTGGCGGCGCCTCCGAGATTACCTTCGAGCTGCCGGACAACGCCAAGCAGTGCTTCTACGAGGACATAACTCAGGGCACCAAGTGCACCCTCGAGTTCCAGGTACCACGGGCCTGGCGGGCCCCAGGGTTGGGGCTGTGATCTTGGGGTGACTCCCTCTGTCGTGTTTCTTCATTCTTTAGCTAATTAAAGAATCACCTCTATGTGATCAGTGCAGGGCATTTGGCTTCCTTTTCTCAGAGGTCAGAGCAAGAGACATGAAAGGTCAGTTAAGATGTATGAATTCTAGAAACGCTTTCACTAGTCATAACATTTCTTTCCATGCTTTGATGGCTTTTATTGTAAGCCGTACTGAGCTTTCTTCCTTGAAAGATTCCTTTTTTAAAAAGGTTACTCCTATTCTAGAACGCCCAGTCCAAGTACTCCCATCCTCCCATAAAATCTCCATTTTAGTTGGATTTGCAATGCTGCCAATATCTGACTCCATTGCTTTTCAGTTTTTCCGGCGGTAGCAAGACTCTTGGTAGTCCCTGTCTTTGGAAATGCTCCGTTAGAGGATGAGCCGCCATCTCCCAAAAGAATTGTGATAAATGCGAGCTCCCTTCCTGTCTTTGGGGTTGTATTTTAAAAGGAGCTTTATTAAACAGGATGTCCTTTATTTAGTTGGTGAGAACGGTATTTACTCTGTCTTTGTTGACAGGCTCATTTAGCAATTGAGCAGCCACTGTGTGCTAGGTGCTGGTGATACAGAAGTGATCAAAACAGATAAAGTCACTGCCGGAGCTGTATTACCCATTCGAATTAGTACATTGGTACTTAGTAATTAGAACCTTAGTACATTCATCAAAACTGTATTTTAATAGCAATAAGTAGGGAATATGTAGTCTGATCTTTCAGAAACTCATTTTAACCTGAACTTTAAAGGGTGAGTTGTAAATACTTTGGTAAAGGAGATGGAGAATATCCTATGGGTAGAGTGAACACTTAAGAATTTGAGCACCATAATGAGATTCAGTAGGTTGAAAATAGGAGTCAGAGGAATGGAGGTAAGTAGGGGCCAGTCTGTCAGAGCCTTGCTGGACATGTTAAGGATTTTAGATCTTCCTTTGAGTATAGGACACCATCAGGAGATTTTAAGTAGTTCAGTGACATGACCAGAATCTTAGTGGCTGCATGGAATTTAACATGAAAGTAGAAAAGGTGGTTAAGATGTTTCAGAATACATGTGGAAGACTGTAGGAGACTCTTGTCAGTTCCAGGCAAGAAATGATAATGGTTTAGACTCTGGCTGTAAAAATGAGGAAGGAGAAAAATCAAAAGGTTTGGAGAGAATGAAGTAAGTTAAAGTCAACAGGAGTTGGTCGTAATTGGCTATGGTGGGTGAGGAAGGGGAGATTAAGGATGACCCTTATGCTTGTTAAATTCATGGATTAGGACTAGGGACCAAAAAGAACATATGTAGCAGGAATATTAATATAAAGTGTAAGCCAGAATTTCCTTTGTTTTTATTTAATAAATATTTCTTGAATTCTTAAATATGTGGATGCTGTGCTGGGTGTCAAGGATACTACACCAGCTTAAAAAAAAATAGCCTGGTTAAGTGTGTATAGTATGCCAGGTGGTTCAGGTATGTTAGGTAAATGTAGCAATAAAAATGTAAACAAGGTAGAATGTTGGGAGAGGACAGAGGAATCTTCAGGAGAAATTTAGCTGAAAGACTGATGTTTAACAGTCTGGCAGGATAAATAGGAATTGCTCTATCGAATAACCAAGGAGGGAGGAATGGCAGCCTAGGCAGGTATGTTTGGAGCTTTCCAACAGGCCTCAAAAAAGTCTAAGCCCTTCTGCTATAGTTTGTGCATGGTGCTAAAATATACTGCGTAATAATAGTTTCACTTTTTTTGTGACTATGGATCAGAGGACTTTGGGGGAGGTTTGTACCAGTTTGTCAACCTATTTCTTTTTTCTCGTAACAGTAAGATTGATGATTTGTACCTGGTTTGGGTGTGTGCTCCCCACTTCTACAACACCCCACTGCCACCAAGGACTCTGCTGTTGAAACTGGGTACATAGAAGGAATATGTCTGTATGACCAACAAAATATTTAAAAACCTAGCCAGCATACTTTTTTGAGTGTTCCTTGCACACTTGTGTGAGAGCATGTGTTTGGCCATCGACCTCACAGAGGGAGGACAAAGGAGCCCACATGTGACATCTCTAGACCCTTGTGAAATAGTCTTTGGCAGTGATGATTTAAATTATATTCTTGTTAATGATTTATTTTTCTTTTTTGGGGGGGGTTACCGGGGATTGAACTCAGGACCTTGTGCTTGCCAGGCTGGCGGTGGAACCACTGAGCTAAATCCCCAGCCCTAAATTATATCCTTTTCCTGTAATAAACTAGATTTGTAAGCATTGTCTTTTGGGGTCCTGTGATTCTCCTATAGGAAACAAACGCTATTGAACTGCCATGGACAGTTCAGATGTAAAGTGAAAACTTGTCCAGAAAACTTGGGACATAGAATAAGCAAAGATATGAATATGAGAGATCCTGAGCCCATTTAATAGGTGGTACAATGAAATGGTATATCACTGTTAATAGGTTTGGATTTTCTGGTAGTCCACAATGAAGTGTCATTGTCAAAAAATTTTAAATGAGTGCTCAGTGAAAGTGGTGAAGAAAGACAGAATGCCCCCTCCACTCACACTCAGTTGGCATGTTGTGGGATTGCTGCTAATAGCAGGTAGTGTGTAGAGACCAGGGTGTTGCACATGGTGCAGTGCACAGTACAACCTACCCCGTGCTACAATTAATTATCCAGCTCAAAATGAGAGTGGTACCAAGGGTGGGAAACCCTGGGTTAGAGGGAGAACAAGTTAAACTGTGCAAAACTTTGTAAGAAATTGTGACAGTAAATTATTGTGGATTAGGAGTGGAAGGACTGGGATGAATTTGAGAGAGATAGTAAGATAAGTTTTTGTGATCATTTGGATAGGTAGGGACATTAAGTTTGGGATGATCCCCAGTTTCAGTCTTAGGTGACCAGACAATTTAAAAGGGTATTGACTCAAATAAGTGAACTTGTTTTAAATAGTTTGATGAGGGTGAGGCAGAGGATTGCAAGTTTAAGCCCAGCCTAGGCAGCTTAGAAACTTAATAAGAAGACCTTTCTCCAAGCAAAAAGGCTGAGGATGTAGCTCAGTGCAAAGGCCCTGGGTTCAATCCCAGTATCATCAAAAAATAAAAATTGATGGAACAAGGATGATGAGTCTACATCCTATCAGTTTATATGTATGTATTTGATAATTCAAAATACAGTGATCAAGTATGAATAACTGGGTATATCAAAACAAAGTCATTATTTTTCTACTGGAAAAACGATGTTTTTTGGGGGATGGGTAAATACCCACTTGAAAAGACCTCTTTTTTTTTACATCAAAACATTTTTTGTGTATTAGTATATAAATATTATTTTTACAGTTTCTTAAGTATGTAGTTATATTTCGTTTACCAAAATGATCTTGTAACATAGTTCATTTAGTCATCATCTTTTTGAAGTAATGAAAGCTCACATGAGTAACATCTTTCTTTGAAGTCCAAAGTTTGACTTCTGTTTTATTGATAGAGAATGTCAGTATGTGAACCAAGGGAGTTGAAACTTGAAAATAACAAAACTGCATCATTTAGTCTCATGGTGGTTAGGAACTCTCAAACCTAATGTCTCTTCCTCATCACTTGCTTCTAAATTAAGTGATAGAATATTCCTGTATTAACTAGCACAGTTGCCTGAAATGAATAAAAATTCCTTCTCCATGAGGAAACTTGTCTAGTTTCTGTAAAACTTTGGATGAACTGAAATCTGCCTCCCATTTCAACCATTGGTGAAAATTTTTTTCAATGTAAAATTGCATGTGATAGTGAAAGTTATTGGCCCATAACCTTCTTGCCATTTTAACAAGTAATTGGTTAATTTCTCATCATTGCAGTGATCTCTCTTTTTTTTCTTAATCTCTTTTAGGTGATTACTGGTGGTCACTATGATGTAGACTGTCGATTAGAAGATCCTGATGGTAAAGTGTTATACAAAGAGATGAAGAAACAGTATGATAGTTTTACCTTCACAGCTTCCAGAAATGGGACATACAAATTTTGTTTCAGCAATGAATTTTCTACTTTTACACATAAAACTGTATATTTTGATTTTCAAGTTGGAGAAGACCCACCTTTGTTTCCTAGTGAGAACCGAGTCAGTGCACTTACCCAGGTAAATAAAAAGTTGATAAAATAGTACTAATATAATTATAGCTAAGAAATAAACATAATTTAATATTATGCATTAACTCATCGATGAACATAGGTTTTGAAGATTGAATTAAAGCCTCAGAATTGTCTTAATTTTTCAGTAGATTAAGCATTTCACGGAGAACTTAAGACTTTTGTAGTAAAAAACAATGTTAAAAGATTTAATGTAAAATATTAAGTGTGAAGAAAGCATTCAAATGAGAGGAAGATCACTATTACTTGGTTTTTTATTGCTGTGACAAAATACCTGTAATAATCAGCTTAAAAGCAGCTTGTGGCTTTATGGTTCCAGTCCATGGTTAACTGGTTTCATTGTTTTTGGACCTGTGGCAAGGCAGCAGCAACATCATAGCAAGGAGTGGGAAAGCACCTTACCTCATGCCAGGTAGGAAGCAGGGAGAGAGGCTATGCCCCTATGTCCCCTTCAAGGGCATGCCTCCAGTGACCAAGCCTTATACACTGGCCTTTGAGGGACATTTAAGATTCAATTGGTAACAGTCACTAAGATAGGAATATCAATAGTAAGGGAAATTTAGGAAGGCTAAGCACTACTTCAGTGCTTTTCTGTAACCTGTGAAGGAATGTTGCTACCGTGCCTTAGTAGGTTAGTGTAATTCGGATGAAATGATGCCTAAATTAACATATAAATACACTACACAGTGGTCTTTATACCATAATTAGTGTTATTCAACTGTTGTTACATTAATTTTCTGTAACTTAGGTAAAATACTGAAGATTAATGATGTCATCTAACAAAAATAGTTAATGTAAGCTAAATTGGGGTTTAAATTGAAGAAAGGTTAATAAAAAGCAAAAGAAATTTAAAGTCAGTAAACAGATACTGCTAAGAGAGGCTGTTTGATTTCCTGGTCAAATGCAATATGAGCTTAGGTTGTATCTTAAAGATTGTTTACAAAGCATGAAAAGAAATTATTGTACTGGTACACACCTATAATCCAAGCTAGTCAAAACGCTGAAGCAAGAGAATTGCAATTCTTGAGGTCAGCCTGCACAATTTAGTAATACCCTGTCTCAAAATTTACGAAATAAAAGAGCTTATGGTAGAGTGCTTAGCACAAGACTGGGTTCAATCAACAGTACCAATACTACCACACACACACAAAAAAAGGAATTATTTACTATCTACTTGTTAAAACCTTAAACTGATGTTTTCAGTGTTTCCAGGTTCCATTTAGTTTCTCTGCTAACCATCCAGATGATAAGGACAGTTGTAAGAGTATATAACTGCCTTAATTCAAGCTTAGTTTTAGAAATGTTTTCTGTAGGATCCTGTATGAAAGGTACATCCCTTTGTAAAATGATTTTTCTTTGAGACTTTTGTTTATAACTTAATCCGTCCCTCTACTGTAATGGGTTTTAATTTGTGTAAGAAGGCAGCTTACTCTGAAAATGTAAGTGGGCAAATAGAACATGATTGGTAGTAAAGCAGTTAGTACTACTTAGCCTCCTTTCCATATGGCATTTTAAATCTTTTCTTAATGTCAATACTTTCAAAAAGCTAGTAAGTTTCTCATGTAGGAGAAATACTTACAAAGTAGTTATTCATATTTTAAAATGGAAAAAATTACCAGCTAATAAATGGAGAATAAATGAATGAGTTTTACTATCACTGGTTTTTACCCATTACTAAAATAGTGGATCTAGAATAGGAATGATAACTGTTTGGTGAAAAACTGATAAAAAGCTGATGGAAAACTTTATAATGGATGGATCAAACCAGTGTCATCTAAATCTAATGATCATTCACAAATGGACATTATGTGCTTTGTCATAATATGTCATAAGAAGTATACAGCCCTGCTCTGAGGCTTCCCACCCAGAACATCACACCCAAATCCCCTCAAATCTCTAGTTCCAGCCGACAGTTTACAGTGAATACCTAGAACAGAGAACAACATGGGAAAGAGGCAACAAAATCCAGAAAAGCGGGAAACTTCACAAGGTAGAGAACTTGGTTTTTTAAATAAATAGATGGCAAGGAAAAGAGAGAAAAAGAAAGAGAACCTAAAGACTAAAGACTTAAAGCCATACCAGCTGAATGGCTGTGTTGACCTTATTTGGATTCTGATTTGAAAACAACTTGGAGACATCAGGGAAAACCACCATCCTTTTAAAGTGTTATCTTTTAGGAATAAAGTGTAGAAAGTATTTGCAGCTAACCTGAAAATATCTGGAATTTGCTTTAAATACCTAATTGGGAAAAATAGATGAGGATTATAGATGAAACAAGATTAACCATGTGTTAATTATTGACATGGACTTCATTGTCATAGTCTCTGTTCTTTTGAATATATATGAAAATCGCCATTTTAAAAAAGAATACCACACACATCTCAAAATTTGTATGAATCTGTATAATTAAGTTGATTTTTCTCTAACCCACAAGTTCTTAACCCACATTCCTGGACAGGCTCCAAATGGTACTTATTCTGAATTTCTGTCAAATCCTTGCTCTTCTTATGTGTACTTTACAGGCAAAGAACCCGTGGGTCACATGTTATTTTGAAAATACATGGGAAGCAAAGAAATTACAGAAGCAGCTCTTAAACTCCTTAAAAATCATTCATTTTAGCACAATTTTGTCAATGTTTTATTCTTAGAGGCCTCAAAAAAACAAAATCATTTGTGTATTCTAATAGATAAGTTTTGTTAACCTCAATTTCTCAAATTTTAAAAAACACTTTTAACTGAGTATTTTTATAATTATTCCTTTTATACTTTGCTAGAGCCTTATTAAATATTTAAATTATTTCCTAATGCCTGTATACCTTAAAGTTAAAACTTATTTTTTAAAATTATTAATACATGTGTGGTTTGTGAAATAAAATAGTAATACGTCAGTCGAAAAATATTAAACCCTTGTATAAAAAATATTTAGATACAGCTGGGCATGGTGGCACACTCCTGTAATCCCAGCACTCCGGAGAGTGAGGCAGGAGAATCACTGCAAGTTGGAGGCCAGCCTGAACTGCACAGCAAGGCCCTGACTCAATACCCAAAACATTAATTAGTTAATTAATTAGATACAACCTTTCTTAAAGTAAATGGTGTAATGCAGAAGAATAAGGTATTAACAGATAAAGGTTCACAGACTGAATAGTGAAACTGAAACTTGTATCCCGTTGGAAACATGCATTGGTTTATTTACTGGTATAAGGGAGATTTATTTAGCAAATAGATAAATGTAAATAGAGATTCATACTCTGGTCATTTATTTTCAGATTCAAAAATTAGCTAAGGATTTTGATAGTATTATGTCCATATTTAAGATACTCGAAATAACTTTGACTAACTCCATCTGTTTTTATGCCATATTTGGTTGATTTGGGCTTTGACTTGTACTCATTATTGATGAACTTACCTGTCCTCTTTCTCCTAATTTTTCTTTAAAGACCCTGTGCATAAAATTCTGTAGCTGCCAGTGTTACCTGATAAGTATTTCTGTTGGGTTAGCTTAAGTGTCCTATCTTCCACCTTACTAATGCCATGCAGGTGACATCGCAGTTTGGGGAAAACAACTTCTTTGTGGCCTCTCTAGCTTTACCACTGGTCCTAGGCAAAAGAGCAGAAGAGTTGCATTCCCAGGACAACTGGCATAAATGAATTAATGAATGCGTCCCCATTTACTAAATGTTAGTCCAAGGAGGAATTGAGATCAGACTGAAAGGATAAATATGCTAAATACAGGTTGTATAGAAAGTATTAAACATACTAACTGAAAATCTTTTCTCTTCAGATGGAATCTGCCTGTGTTTCCATTCATGAAGCTCTGAAGTCTGTCATTGACTATCAGACTCATTTCCGATTGAGAGAAGCACAAGGCCGCAGCCGAGCAGAGGATCTAAATACAAGAGTGGCCTATTGGTCAGTAGGAGAAGCCCTCATTCTTCTGGTGGTTAGCATAGGGCAGGTATTTCTTCTGAAAAGCTTTTTCTCAGATAAAAGAACCACCACAACTCGTGTTGGATCATAACTGCGTTATGAGAAGTGATACACCATTGCCACTATAATTTTGTTGTCTTCTAATTTTAGGTACTGAAGAACTTAATATTGGCAACATTTTAAAACCTTGCTCATGTACTTGCTGGGAGAGATGTACAATGCATATCCCCAAACTATGGAAAGGACACCTTTATTTATTTGTAAAGGTGGAAAAACTTTGGGACTTATTTTGGGCTCTTTATGTTAAATATTCAACACCAATGATCTGCTTTTTTCTTGGTTGTTTATATTACTCTTCGCACAATAAACTTTGGTATTTTGATTCATTTTAATCATTTAAAATACTTTTCTTGTAGTTGATATTTTTAAAAACTTAGATTTAATGTCTACATATGTTATGGAGGAAGAAAATTACTTTTTATTTATGTATAGTGAATAAAGTTATGTTTTTTAGGAAACCAAATGTGATTAACTATAGCCCAAGCCCTATTCTGCACTGCTTAATTATATTGGGGTCTTCCATAGAAATGGTAATTAACATTGATACAATTTTTAGTTGATTGTGATATAATTTATTTCTTGCTGGCTTGGACAATGTTAGATTTTTGTTTTTGAGGGGTTTATTCTATGATTTATAACTTGTTTTTCTACAAAGGCTACCACATAGAAAATGGTATGTATCCATAACATAATAGCGTTTATACAGACTTTAAAAGCCAGACTGTTACAAGAGGTAGAATAATAATTTGGAGGAGGGGTGAATTAAACGGGTAAAATTTTTAGTGAGTTATCTGCACTCTTTACATTTCTAGTGCTTTTACAAAAAAAAGTGATCTGTGTCATTTTAACATTTTAACTGGCTAGATCTTGCTCTTAATACAGCTTCAGTGTCTTCAAGTCCCTCCCAGTTGAAGTTGGCATTTGAAATATTGTATCACATAAATGCCATACATTTCATCCTCTTCATCCTCATGGGTGTGATGTACTGAGTTTTTGGGGGTTTTTTTCTGTTTTTATTTTTGTCTTGTGCTTTTTTTCCTGCAGTATCTGTTTAGCAATTCTAAAATGATTTAAAGGTTTAGAATGCTATGTGTGTTTCCTATTTGCAAATTTTCATTGATTGTACTTCATTTAATGAGTATTAGTACATATTCTGTACATTATAGGGTTTAGATTGTGTTTGTATCTTATAAGTTGTATAGATTGAGCTGACTGAAATAAGATTTTGTTCAAGCATTTCAGACTGAAATACAAGATGATGCAAAATTATATGGACATTTAAATTTAAGACTCTTCTGCTGTTTAAAAAACAAAAATCCAACTACTCTTCTGCCGTGCCTCCCTTTTTTACCCAAAGGTGATGAGTACTGAATAAGACTGTCATATGCCATGGACCTTGATTGAATAGCAATTCAGGCCTCTTAACCACTACTGACTAGAAGTAGCTCAATTCTAAGCTGTTTCAAAATCCACATGCATACACGTACACACACACACACACACACACACACAACTGGATATAAGAACAAAATGAATTCAGATTGCCCTGCTGGCTTTCTTCGATGTCACAGTGTAGTAAGAGATGAAATGTTTTCAGCCCTTTAAGATTCTTAAAGACCAAATAGCTATTCTTTCAACATTTATGAATGGATTAAAAAGTTCAAGACTTTGCAGATTTATCTGAGTTCTTGTGTTGAAGTTGTCCTGCAGCTTTAGAAACATCCCTTCATACTTAGATTTGAAGGTTTCAGGGACTAATATTAATATATTGATAAGAATGGGCATATGTAAAATATCTTTATCTGGTTGCTCATGGACTGTTGTGTTCAGATACGCCACAATTAAAGTCAGGTATAGATTTTGCCACATTTGGCTTAGGTTGTCCAGTCACTTAACCTGTGCCTCTCAAAATTTCATGATACTGCAGGTAGACTATTACCACAAATGGTTTTTCATGAAAACATTAAGATACAGTTTTTTTTAATCACCACTGTTAACCTGTTATTGAAAAGAGTGGCCAGGTATGGTGGTGCATGCCTGTAATCCCAGTGCTTAAGAGGCTGAGGCAGGAGGATCACTGAGTCCGAGGCCAGCATGGGCTACATAGTGAGTTCAAGGCCAGCCTGAACTACATAACAAGACCCTGTCTTACAAAAAAAGAGAGAGAGAGAGTGAGTGGGGGTTTACTTTAGAGTCTGTAGCTCCAAATTTTGATGGCTGTCTACTCAATGGGGGGGGGTGCATATATATATATATATATATAATTTAGAAAATATATCTCCAGACATAAATGCTGAGTAACCTTTTTTCTTCCTCTTACTACATAATTTGTAGCTCATTTTTTTTTTTTTTTTAGTGTCTTCATAATCTGTTGCAGCAGTTCGAATTTCCCTAATATTTATGTTTGGACAGATAACTCATTACATATTTGGATATCATAGTTGTATATATTTTTAAAGTAGAATAAATAAGGGAAAGTGACTTGATACACAAGTTTATACTGTACTAAAATTTCAACTGGGTGAAGATACATTTTAAGATGTTGCTTTGCTAATCTAATATTTTTTCTATAAAGAAACATGGATTTTTGGTTTACAACTTTCATTTGGGCTTGATGATAACTTTGAAAATACAGTAGATCAAGAAGCAGTTTTATTCTTTGAAGGATTTCATTTAAATCTATATAGCGTCCATTTCTTTGATTTCAGTTTGTAAATGTATAGCATTTATAGTTAAATAGGACAAAGCAGACCGTGTGACTTTTGTTTTCAAAAATTAAATTAATATATAAATAATTTAAAGGGGTTTTTCCATTTACTTTTGCAAAGAAAATTTCTGTAACAAACATTGGTTCCACAGGATTGCACTGATCAATTTCTTTTAAAATAAAAAATCTTTCAGTAAACAGACTTGTTTCTGTTAGGATTTTAGTCTTTCTAATAGCGCCTCATAAATACACAGCATAAAGTACATTTTATTACAAAAGTGATTGTATGGTGTTTCATTAAGACACATGAGAATATGACGAAGAAGAAGCACCACTGCCTCACTTTTTACCCTCTGTTTGCACCTTTATGAAAGACTGTCTGGGTGCTGATGGGCGTGGAGGTGCACACCATAACCTCAGCACCTGGGAGGCTGAGGAGGGATCCCCATGAGCTCAAGGCCAGCCTGAACTACATCGTAAGACCCTATCTCAAAAAAAGCCCTCTAGAATTTTGGTTGAGATTGCATTGACTATAGATCTTTTGGTGAGTACTTGACATCTTAGCAGTATCAAGTCTTCAATTCCATGAACAAATTATATCTCCATTTTTTTAGGCCTTTATTTTCATTCAACAATAGTTTTGCAGTGTGTAGGTCTTTCACGTAATTCCTCAGTATTTAATATTTTTGATGTTATGAATGATACTTTTTAAATTTCAATTTTAAAAATATTTAATTGACTAAGACTGAATGCATTCGAGGTGTACAACATGAGTTTCTATGCATATACATTACATGATTACCACTGTCGGGTTAAAACATCCATCACCACCCATCCTGTAAACTGGGTCTCCAGAAACTTGCTCATTGACCAACATCTTACCATCTCTCCTCACATCAGCCCTTAGCAACCACCTTTTGAATTCTGATTCTGAGGTTATTAGATTAAATATGTAAGTGAGTTCGTGCAGTATCTGTCTTTTTATGCCTGATTTATTTCATTCAGCATAATGTACTCCAAGTTCACCCATGTTGTCACAAATGGTAGGATTTTATTCTCTTTATGGCTGAATAATATTCCATTGTTACAATGTACCACAATTTCTTTATCTCTTCATTTGCTGATAGACACTTGAGGAAGCTTCCTTCTATTGTTTGCTAGGAGTTTTTTTTTTTTAATCAGAAATAGATGTTGGATTTTGTCAAATGCATTTCCATACCTATTAAGTAAATCATACAGTTTTTCTGTTTTAGTTATGTGATAAATTACATTTATAGGCTTGGCATACCATATCTTTTAGTATATTGTTGGAATTCAATTGTTCAAATTTTGTTGGGAATTCTGCATCAGGGATGCACACATAAGGGATGTCTATAGTCTTGTTTTTATTGTAATGTCCTTCTGATTTTGGTATGGTACCAATGGTGGCCTCACAGATTGACTTCAGAATATTCTTCTTCAGCTTGTCTGTTAAGGAATATTCTACTTACACATAAACAGCGTCATCAGCACATTTCCATTGGTTTGTCTTGCCTATGTCTCACCACGGTGATGTGAAGGGGCCCAGGTACACACTGTGCATGTAGTGGTTTTGTGTCACAGCTGAGCAGTAGTGAGGCTGAAGAATCGACTGCTTTTATAGTAGGCAATAAGCTAGTCTAGTTTTCTTGTCCTGGAGGGAATTGCTTACTATAAGCATGAGCCTGAGAAATGGGTGATGTGCAATAGTCAGGATCTTGCCCAGCAAGACATGCAGGAATACTTGAGACCCACGGAAGACAGCCCATTTCATCTGAATTTATTAGAATTAAGTGGTTTAATGTCCTACATCTTATACATGTAGTGCTGTTTTATTCCTGGTTTATTCTCTCTCAAGTAGTTTAATCAGTAGTGCATTTTACTAGTCTTCAAAGAATCATCTTTTGTTCTTGAGCCTATTTTTTCTGCTTTAATTGCTGGTCTTATTTTTGCTCCATTTTGGATTCATTCCTTTTTTTTTTTTTTCCTAATCCCCCTTCCTAATTTCCTGGTGTACATAGGTTATTAGGTTGGCTGAATCTCAGGCTTTGTTTTCTCTCTAGGATTTTAGTTATGTTCCACAAGTTTTGATGTGAAATATTTAAATCAAAATATCCTATGATTTCTATTATGATATATTTTATTTCCAGACTTTTTAGACTTTTTTATTTTTAGACTTTTTTATTTAGACTTTTTA